AATGTTATGTGCCTGCCTTCAAATTGTGCTGTGGTTTCAGGTGTGATCTCCAAGCTCAGTGAAGAGGAACCAAAAGGAAACAACCTGACTCAGTGTTGCCAGTAAAGATAAACGCAAGTGCACTCTAGCTATACAAGTTGGTGTCCTCTGGTCCTTGTCAACTTGTACTAAAATTCTATTTTAAATTTCTTTTTTTAAATTTTCTGTTTGTGTATGAAAGTGACCCAGTGGCAAGGAACCTACCTGCATTTTTTTCCAAGCCTTCTTACTCCATTCCCGGGACTTTTGTCTCCTTACATGAGTGGAGGTGGCAAAGTTCTGTGATGAATTCACTGCAGGGCACAGCTGAGTGCATCTGTGAGGTTGGTGACACTTTTGGGAAAATGCATTTAAGGCAGCTCCTGCTGCTTAGCACCGTTTGCTGGGAGCACTGACAGCCTGCTCCATCCCCCCTTCATAACAACCAGTATGGAAATGAACAGGACCAGAGCACTTCAAGTGCATGTAGGATGGAGAATGAGCAAGCCAAATTCGGAGTGCAGTTGCAGGGCTACGGTCTTGTTGGTATGTAGTGATTTAACACTGATGGGCAGCTAAGGACCACCATACCACTCTGACTCTCCCTCCTCAGAAGGTGGAAAATATAATGGAAAAAAGGCTCATAGGTTGAGATAAGGACAGGGAATTAACTCACCAGTTATTGTCATAGGAAAAACAGACTCAGCATAAGGGAGATTAATGTAATTATTGCCTATTGATAACAGACTAGAGCAGTGTGAACTAAAAGCAAACCAAAACACCTTACTCCCATCCACAATCTTCTGCCTCCTCTTCTAAGTGGTGCACGAGAACCAGGAGTGGGGGTTGTGGGCAACCCAGAACACTTAAGTCTCTACCAATTTCTCTGCCCCTGCTGCACATGGACGTCTTCTCTGCACAGCGCCTGTGGACTGCAGGGACAGCCTGCTCTGCCATGGCCTCGCTGGGGCTACAGGGAACCTCTGCTCCGTGCCCTGCAGCACATGCTGCCGTCCTCCTGCCCTGACCTGGGTGTCTGCAAGGCTGTTTCACTCACATTTCCCATTCCCTCTCCCTCAAATACCATAGCTGAGAAGTCCTTTTCCCTTCCTTAAGTCTGCCTTCCCTAGCGTCGCTCATGCTGCAGCCCTGGCAGTGTCTGGTCCCTTTGGGAGCAGCAGGAGCTCTGCTTTGACGTGGGGCAGTGCTGGACTCTGCTCACAGGGGGCACTCTGCAGCCCTCCACTGCCAAACATTGCCGTGGTGCTCACAGGGACGTGGTTGGGTGGCTGCCGTGGCTGTGGCTGGTGTGTTGCCATGGAAGGACAGGCTGCAAAAGTGGAAGTTTCCCTTTATGTGAGAGAACAACTGAAGTGCATGGAGGTTTGCGTGGACATGGATGAACAGTCAGCCAAGAGCTTATGGGTTAAGACTAAATGGAAAATAGAGATAGGTGACATTACAGCGGGTGTCTACTATGAGTCACCTGACCGCATAAAACAGGCAGATGAGGCCCTCTATTGACAGATAGGAGCAGCCTCATGTTCACCAGCTCTGGTCCTCGTGGGGACTTCAACCACTCCAATATCTGCTGCAGCAGGAAGCAAGCAGTCCGGTTCCTGAAATGCACTAATGATAAGATCCTTCTGCAGATGACAGGAGCCGATGGGGAGAGGTGATCTTATGGATGGTAGCTGCCAGCAGAGTGGGTTTTGTTGGAACATAAAGGTCAAATGCAGCCTTGATTGCAGTGACTGTGAGGTGATGGAGTTCATGTTCCTTAGATCAGGGAGAGAGGTGCACAGTAAGCTCACAACCCTGGATGTCTGGGTAGCAGACTTTGGCCTCTTTGAGGATCTGCTTAGAAGAGTCTGCTCGGATAAGGCCATAGAAGGAAGAGAGATCCAAGCAAGCTGGTTCATGTTTGAGGGCCACCTCCTCCAAGCTCAAAAGTGATCCATCCCTAAGAACTGGAAGTCAGGCAGAAGTGCCAGGAAGGCTACAGAGATGAACAGTCGTAGAAGAAAGAACAAAGAGCCTGGGCGGAACACTGAGACACTGTCTGAGCACCCAGGGATGAAGTTAGGAAGGCTAAAGCCCTAACAGAGATGAATCTGAACAGGGATGTTGAGAAGGGCTACTCCAAGAACATCATAATGAAAGGAAGACTGAGGAAAAGATTGTGTCCCCGTCCAGAGAGCCCCGGGCAGGCTGGAGCCATGGGCTGCCACAAAGCTCCTGCAGCTCAGGAAGGGGGAGGGCAGAGCCCTGCCTGGGGGGAACAAGCCCAGGCCCCAGGACACGGTGGGGCACCCGACTGGAAGCAGCCTGGCAGGAAAGACCCTGGAGATTAGTGAGAGGATCTGGGGAATGGAAGACCCCCCTTCTGTCAGGGAAGAGGTGGTCCGGGAGCGCCTAGGCAACATCAATGTTCAGAAATCCATGGGACCCGATGGGATTCATCCACGGGTGCTGAAGGAGCTGGCAGAGGTGATTGCTGAACCGCTTTCTGTCATCTTTGAGAAGTCTTGGAAGACGGGGAAGGTGCCTGAAGACTGGAAGATAGCCAGCGTCACCCCGGTCTTCAAAAAAGGCAAGAAGGAAGACCCAGGCAATTATAGGCCAGTCAGCCTCACCTCTGTCCCTGGAAAGGTGATGGAACAGCTTGTACTGGATGTCATCTCCAGACAACTGGAAGAAGAGGAGGTTATCAGGAGTAGTCAGCATGGGTTCACAAGGGGGAGGTCGTGCTTGACCAACCTGGTGGCCTTCTATGATGTTGTCTCTGGCTGGGTGGATAGGGGGAGAGCAGTGGATGTAGTCTACCTTGATTTCAGCAAGGCATTTGATACTGTCCCCCATGACATCCTTATAACAAAGCTGAGGAAGTGTGGGATAGATGAGTGGACAGTGAGGTGGGTTGAGAACTGGCTGACTGGCAGAGCACAGAGGGTCGTTGTTGGTGGTGCAGAGTCCGGTTGGAGGCCTGTAACTAGCGGTGTTCCTCAGGGGTCTGTGCTGGGTCCGGTCTTGTTCAACATCTTCATCAATGACCTTGATGAGGGGATAATGGCCACCCTCAGCAAGTTTGCCGATGATACGAAGTTGGGAGGATTGGCTGACACGCCTGAAGGCTGTGCTGCCATTCAGCAAGACCTGGATAGGCTGGAGAGCTGGGCAGAAAAAAACCGGATGAGGTTTAACAAAAGCAAGTGTAGAGTCTTGCATCTGGGGAGGAATAATTGCATGCACCACTACAGGTTGGGGGATGAGCTGCTGGAGGGGAGCTCTGCAGAAAGGGACCTGGGTGTCCTGGTGGACGACAGGTCGGCCATGAGCCAGCAGTGTGCCCTTGTGGCCAAAAAGGCCAATGGCTTACTGGGGTGCATTAAAAAGAGCGTGGCCAGCAGGTCAAGGGAGGTGATCCTCCCCCTCTACTCTGCCCTGGTAAGACCTCATCTGGAGTACTGCGTCCAGTTCTGGGCTCCCCAGTACAAAAAAGACAGGGATCTCTTGGAAAGAGTCCAGCGGAGGGCCACGAAGATGGTGAAGGGCCTGGAGCATCTCCCCTATGAGGAAAGGCTGAGTGAACTGGGTCTGTTCAGCCTTGAGAAAAGGAGACTGAGAGGGGACCTGATCCAGGTCTATAAATATCTAAGGTGTGGGGGGCTGAATGGCAAGGCCGGACTCTTTTTCAGTGGTGAGTGGAGACAGGACGAGGGGAAACGGCCAGAAACTGGAGCATAGGAAGTTCTGCACAAACATGCGCAAGAACTTCTTTACAGTGAGGGTGACGGAGCACTGGAACAGGCTGCCCAGGGAGGTGGTGGAGTCTCCTCTGGAGACGTTCAAGACCTGCCTGGATGCCTACCTGTGCGACCTGCTGTAGGGAACTGCTTTGGCAGGGGGTTGGACTCGATGATCTCAGGAGGTCCCTTCCAACCCCTACAATTCTGTGATTCTGTGATTCTGTGAAAGGCCTGGGGGTGCGGGGGGACCCTGAGGTGAATACGAGTCAACAGTGCGCCTGTGCTGCAAGGGCCAAAGGTGTCCCTGGCTGCGTTAGGCCTGGTGCTGCCAGCAGGGAAGGGAGATGGTGCTGCCCCTCTGCTCAGCTCCTGTGAGGCCACAGCTGGAGAGCTGGCTCCAGTTCTGGGCTGCCCAGGACAGATGTGGGGCTACTGGAGAGAGGCTAACGAAGGGCTGTGAGGGTGATGAAGGGGCTGGAGCACTTCCCCTACAAGGAAAGGCTGAGAGATGGGACGGTTGATCCTGGAAAAGAGATGGCTCAGACGGATCTCATCACTGTCTATAAACACCTGAAGGCAGGTGCAAAGAGGACAGAGCCAGGACAAGAGGCAGTGGGCACAAACAGGAGGCTCCTTCTGGCTACTGTAGAACACCTGTGTATGCACAGGCAACCAGCACTGGCACAGGTTGGCCAGAGAGGCTGCAGTGTTCTCCTTGGAGCTGTGCAGAAGCTGCCTGTGTGTGGCCCTGGGCACCTGACCATGGTTTCCCTGCCTGAGCCAGGGATGTGGCAGATGGAGCTGGAGGTCCCTGCTGGCCACAGCCACCGGTGGCTCTGTAGGGACAGGGAAGCAACCCCAGCTCCCCATTTGCGCAAGCAGTTACACAGCTTGCACCTCCTGGCAGGAGCAAGGGAAGATGCAGGGAGGCTGAAGAGCAAAGTGAAGGGGGAACTGCTGTGTGCTGACAGCAGCTGCCCTTCACCATCGTTGTCTCTGAGCAGGGAAGAGGAGTCAGGAAGGTCAGTGATGCTGAGCTGGGGAGAGGGAGGAAAGGTGTTGAGATTATGTTTGTCTTTCTCACTACCCAGATTTACTTTAATTGATGTTCAGTTTATTTTTCCTGTCCCTGTTCCTGAGCTGGAGGCTGCTCCCAAGCTACAGAACGATGTGGGCCACCTCTGGGCGCCGCGGCCATTCGGGCACTGACTGATGGCTCTTCTGTCCCCGCAGTGTACGTCGTGGAGGAGAGGCGGAGGGACGACTCGGGGGAGAGCGCCTGCCTGACGGCATGCTGGACTGCACTCTGCTGCTGCTGCCTCTGGGACATGCTGACCTGAGCCGCCAGAGCCGCCGTACCTCTCACGAGTGCTATGCAGTCTCCCCACTCCTTTCCTGACTCCTTTCTGTTACTGTAATCAACGCTCTGCTTTGCACAGCCAAGAGTTCCTGTCAGTCCTAGCGCCTTGTTGGGGTGGGGGGGGTGCACTCCTTTATTTTAGTAAAGGAAAATCCCTTTTTAACATTTCTAAAACTTTTGTTGTAACTTTGAAGAATGTGCTCATGGTGTATTTCAGCCAAAGGCATTCTGATGAAATATTTATCAGTTGAAATTTTCCTAGTCCTAGAAAAGAAGATATACGCAATAATTAAAGCCAACAGTTGATTTTATTTGCTAAGTCCCAATTGTTTCAATAAATCTGTCCCGTAGAGGGTGTGCTTTCCCCATCACTGTCTCTTCTCAGCCTCCTGCGTGCTCTGACTGCAGTGCAGCAATGCTGGACTCAGCTTTGAGCAGTTCTGCTGCAGAAATATGTGCCTCTGCCCCTTGCTGGGGCCTGGCATACAGCGTCTGGCACTGCTGCTCCCAGCATCTGTGGGGTTTCTGCAGAAATCTCTTGCGTAAGCTGTGGCAGTGCAGTGGAAGCAGCCAGGGTGGGAAGGAGGAGGATGGAGTGCCTGCTTCTGACAGTACTGACCACTGCCCTGCGTGGGGCTGTCCCATCAAGCCCTCTGCTTCCTCAGGGCCACTCCTGCTATGGTATGCTAAGAGGGTGAAGATAATTTTGGAAGGGCCCCTGCTGGGACCTGGGACCCTCAGACAGGTCCTGGAAAGACAGAGAGCTGAGAGGAGGCAGCACCAGCAGTTCCTAGCTGTGTGCTGATCCATCACTGCTCCATCATGGCACTGCTGCAGAGTCTTGGCTGCAGTAGAGGTAAATAAGTGGGTAAGAAACAATGGATTAATGTAGTGCTAAGAAACTGCCTGATATGATGAGGAGAAATCGGGCTGACAGTGCTGGAGAGGGCTTCATCAGGACTGCAGCAAGCAGGTCAGAGCCTTCCCTTGTGTCATGCTGGGCCAGCACTGGGCCTGGGCACTGGGGAGAAGCTCAGCCCCAGCTCTGTGCAGAGCTCCCCTGCCCAGATCAGGTCTGCTCTGTGCCCAGGGTCAACACGGATGAGCACCTGAACAAGGGTGCTCATGATGCACCCTCCCCATCACATTTGTGTGGGGCTGCCAAGCAGCACACCAGTAGCCAGCTGGTGCTGGCGGGCAGCAGTGCTGGACATGGGCTGGGGGTGAGATGCAGCAGACACAAATGCACACACGTATGCACAGACACCAACAGGAGTGGCCCATACCACACAAGTGCCAACAGCAGAGCTGTCTCACACTGCACAGGGCAGATGGCCAGCGCCCAGGCATGGTGCTAAGGCAGGCAGCGTCGCGCCTGTCCAGCGCAGCTCAGCCACAGTGACATCCCAACAAGCTGCTGGTGGGAAACCACTGAAAAATCCCATTAACAGCAGCCAGGAGTAGGGAGAAATGGGAGGCAACTGGTGCAAGCTTGCTTTGATCAGACTGTCCACCAATGGGGGCGCAAGGAAAGTAGGATGTCCCCAAGGGCACCCACCCCAAGTCCTGCCCCTCCTTTATTCCTCAAAGCTCAGCAAGGAAGGCAGCTGCCATATGACAGAGGCAGCCGGCAGACACAGTGAGCCAACACGGGCTTTGCAGCAGGGTTTTATTAGATCTGCCAGGTAACAGCCATCACAGCAGAGCTGTCAGCATCACCCAGAGAGCAGCACAGGTCCATCTGTGGCCCAACAGGAACTCACATCTACTGCGCCCTCCGGGCCATCAGCATCTCCCTAATGTTATCTTCTGCTTCCTTCACGCTCCGCTCCAGGTAGGACTTCTTCTGCTGCAAGACAGAAACCCAGGGGAGAGTTAATGTCTGGCCTGGCACCGGCAGCAGTGAGCATGTCCAGAGCAGAGCCCCAGCACTTCTAAGGGTGCAGGACTTGCTGCTTCCCCAGGAGGGAAGTCATTCCCAGACGCATCCTGGAAGTACCAGCATTTTGCCTTTCTGGCTGGGCTGTGGTCACATAGACAGGAATTTTGTTCCCTCTGAAACCTCCTTAGAGTTGCTGGGCTGCATCAACAGCAGAGTTACAAAGGGTTTGCTAAATTAACTGCAGCAATAAAGAAAAGGAAATGAGATCCCATCATGTTTGGAATCCAGAGATTAATTTATGCACCACAACTTGTGCTGCCATCAGTGCCACTGAAACCCCTTCACACTCAGGTTAAGAAGGTTCTTTCCCAGCGAGGCATCCTCAGAAACCAGACCCTCCTTTCTATCTGCTGTGTGTTCAGAAATCCCCTGCTGTCACCATAGAACGTGTATGTTTCTTTAATCATCTCTCATTATCCCAGGCTTGGCAGGGAAGCAGACCGAAGCTGTGCATCCTAAGATAGGAATTCAACAGGCAGCATTTTTTCCTGCTAGTCTGGGTTCTCCTAGGTGACTGGAAAATCTGCACTTGGCTCTCCTGACTATTTTCTCTGGGTTTCCAAACGACAGACACAACAGTCTCTCATGGGTGCCAGGCCTGCAGAACGCATTTCTGTCCCCATGCTGTCCCAGAGCTGCCCCTGGTGCAGGGCACACCAGTGCCTGGTGCTTCAGCAGAGCCCACTGGAACCACTGCGGGCCATGCTCCCGAGGCAGCCCTGCCCATGCGTCAAGGGCTGTCCCCATGAATGCAGTGCAGCCCCGTGCTGGAGGGTGCCAGCAGGGTGATCCTTAACACCACAGGAGGTGGGCCTCAGCCTGGGGCATCACAGAACCGTTTGTGTTGAAAGGGACCCCCAAAGGCCATGCAGTTCATCCCCTGCAGTGCACAGGGACACCCACAGCCCCATCAGTGCTCACAGCCCATCCAGTCTGACCTTCGCTGTCTGCAGGGACGGGGCACTGCCACCTCTCTAGGTACCCTGTGCCAGTGCCTCCCTGCCTGTACTGTAATGAACTTGTTCCTTATATCTGTCTAAATCTTCTGGTTTGAAACCATTTCCCCTTGTCCTAACACAGCAGTCCCTGCTAAGGAGTCTGCCCCCTTCCTTCTTACAGCCCCTTCAGATACTGAAAGGCCCGCTCTCAGCTCCCCCAGAGCCTTCTTTTCCCCATCTGCACAGCCCCAGCTCTCTCAGCCTATCCTCCTAGGGAGGTGCTCCATCCCTCCTCTGGACCTGCTCCAACAGCTCCATGTCTCTCCTGTGCTGAGGTCTCCCTCAGGACTGGATGCAGCACTCCAGGTGAGGTCTCATAGTGCAGAGCAGAGGGGCAGATCCCCTCCCTCTTCCTGCTGGCCCACACTGGTTTGGATGCACCCGGGGCATGTTTGCTCCCTGGGCTGCAACGGCGCATCTCCATCGAACCACTTCCCAACCACAGGCAGAGGAACCCGGTACGATGTGAATGACCTCCGAATTCCACCAGCACTAAGAAGAGCTGCACTGCTCCCAGCACTGCCCAGCTACAGGAGGTGCAGTCAGGGGCATTCACCCCCAGCGTCACCTCACTGGAGCAGGGCAGCAGCAGGGCTCAGGTATGGTGTGGGAAGTGGGTGATGTAAAACCAGAAGCTGGTGCCAGCCTGCGCTCATGGCACCTAGCTGCTAGTGGAAGGCCAGGTGGGCTGGGCATGTGCCAAGGGACAGTGACTGTCAGCAGCAAAGGGTGACAAAAAAGGCCAAGGGGGTGCTCTGCCAATGGTCTCAACTAAACACTGTGAGAATGTTGGGTGCTGGGGTGTGTAACACAGAAGCAAAACCATTCACACACGGTGCAGTCCTGCTGCCATCCGCACTCCCATAGCTGACCCACTGCAACTCTTCTGTACACCCGCTTGAAATTCCCATGCCGTGAGGACATTCATTCTGCTCCCATTTCTAAACACTGAAGAACTTTCATTTAAACAGTAAAGGTTGTTAACAACAGCTAGGGCTGGGGGATACAGTAAAGGGCTCCTTGTCTCCCTGCTGTGGTCGCAGACACGTGGGATGCCTCTTGCTACAAGAGCTGCTTTTCAGGAAGCTGCTGGGAGGCGGCCCAGCGTGGGTCCCTGCGCGGATGCCTTGCTGGCGCTGATACACAAGCAGGGCAGGACGTCCCCAGCCACTGCTGTTCTCATGCTGCTCTGCATGACACTGAGGGACTTCACGTCTGGGGACAGGAACTCCAGCCCCTCCTTCTCAAGCACAAGGGGCTCAGGCAGGGACCAGGCTTGGCACACTGCTGCCATGAGGACGGTGCCCATGCGGTCCTTACACAGCACTGTGCTGCTGGGGACACTGGCAGCCCTGAGCAGGCCAGGATTTGTATTTCCAAGATGCACGGCAGAAGCAAAGTGTTCCTTCCTGTGGAGCTGTAGTATGGCTTCTGCTTAGGTAACCACAGGAGAGGGAGCAGGAACTTGTACCAATTGCCATCTCACCACAATTACTGGGGTCTAGACAGGAAACTCAGCGTCTCTGATGCTCTTTCCTGGGGAGCAGTGTTGTGAGCCAGAGGGGCTGACACATCCCCACCCTTCCAGGCCGCCATGTGGGGCTGGCATCAAGGCTCTGAAGTCATCCTTGAGCCCATTCCAGCCTGGCTGGCCCTGCTGGGTTGCTAGTAGCCACTAGCTGTGCAAGGAACGCCCTCTGCGGCCTCCCAGCCTCCATCTCTGCAATTCCTGCATTTGATATTGCCTGGCATTAAAGGAATGATGGAACTGCACACTTGGAGGCATTAAATGCACTGGCGTTTTAGAAGCACTTTCTCCAGCTCTGATTTCTGTCAGCTGCTCTCCACTCCCAAAGATTCAAAACACTGTCTTGCTGCTGTGATCAACATTTCTAGCATCTCTCACACACTTCTGAGACTACAGCCTCAGAAGAAGCCTTCGCTGCAGGAGGAGCAGGAGGCAGCCCAGAAGGCGACTGAATGCACTCAGAGACATAACAGGATTTGCAGCAACAAATTTCCAAGAGGGCAGCATCCTCAATACGCATACTGAAATCCAACCAGCTGCCTTGCTCCTGAACAGGACAAACTCCTGCACCCTCACCCTCAGGCTGTCACCCATCAGATTCCACCTCAGCCACCCCTTGCAGAGACAGCCACTTCAACCCCTCCCACTCAGCTGCTCCCCTGCACAGAAGGGCACTGCCACCCCCGCTGGAACATGCGAGACAGCCACTGCTGCCACTGCAGCTAGCAAGGCCCAGGCTATGTGGATAGCAGTTGATAGAAAGCAGAGTTGGAGAAAGCCAGTGCAGTTAATGCTTCCAAGTGTGCAGTTTCATGATTTCTTTACGCTAATTCTATAGCCAAAAAGTTCTCCTTCCCAACCAGGAAACTGGCAGCAAAGCAAACCACAGACTTCATGATGTCTCTAAAAGCTAGCCCTAAAAAATATTTTCACTTAAATCTGCCTTCTGGAACCACTAACAGCTCCCTGGCACCAAGAAAGAGGGTCAAAACCCACAGCCGAGACCTGCTCTCCAGATAGCAACATCCCTCCTGCTCGTGAAGCTGTTCGCAGGGTCAGTCCTCCCTGCACCTCTCAGTGCCCCTGTAGCCATGCTGGGGCTCTCCTGGGCTGCCCCCAGGCCCTGCTCACCCCAACCCTCCAGTTCTTGGGACCCTTCCCCATCTCAAGGCACTCCTGCAGCCCTCCTAGACCCTGTGTATGGGGCAAGGGGTAGGAATGGCACATGCCAACCTGGCACAATGCATCCAGTGCCCAGAGCACCAGAATGCCCAGCCTCAGCTGGGGGTTGGAGAAGATAGCACCCTCAAGGCTCCACTCTGCACCACAGGGGCAGGTCTGTGCCCAGGTGCTTGTGCACACAATGAAAGCAATGCCCCAAGTACTTCAAAAGTACCCCAAAGCTTCAACTTTGCTCCCTGTTGCAGGTAACCTCCCAGTCTGCTCCCTGTTCAGCTCCACGCTATGTGCTCTCAGCGGCTGCTGCGGAAATTCTGGATTTAGGGCAAATACACCTGCAGGTCACAGCCCTGAGAAACGGCCACTGTGGTTAGCAGATGTAGGCAGCGACCTCCTGACACTGCATAAACCTCCCACCTCCGCCGCTATTGCATCACGCTGAGAGCAGCAGCCAGGCTTTGTCCACGATGACACATCCAGACTGCGCATTCCTGTCACATTAAAGAGCCAGCATCCACAGATTCCACAGCAAGAAAAAAAAACATTCATCAGCTCCTTGTGGATCAGATTCAGATGATCAAAGCACCATATTCACACAGCACCATGTTCGGGGCATAGCTGCCTTCGGAGTGCTGCCCAGGGCTGTCAGCTCCACGCAGGAGTTTGGGGCCAGGATGCTCAGCTCTAACAGACAGCACAGCACTGCTGTGCTCAGCAAGAAACCAAAGGACAGCAGCTAGTATTTATTTGGACTGCACTATGCCTAGAACTCACAGGTGCTACCCTTTTTCAAACAGCAGCTTATCATTCAATTTCTGCTTTTTTTGCTCTTCAAATTTTACTTCCGTCTCCTTACCTCAGCTTGTAAATTAGTGGCCTGCAACCAGAAGTATGAGGTGACTAAACTCAAATAAAAACATCTCCAGCAAATTGAAGAATCTAGCAATGGAATGATATTGGACAATTCAAAGCTGAGAGCAGTGGGTGACACACCAGAAGGCTATGCTGCTTTGCAGTGAGATCTGGACGGGCTGAGAGCTGGGTGGGGAGAAAAATCATGAGGTTCACCAAAGGCAAGTATGGCCCTACACCTGGGGGGGAATAACTGCATGCATCAGCACAGGTTAGGGGCCAAGCTGTTGCAGAGGAGCTCTGCACAGAAGGACCCGGTGCTCTGGTGACCAACAGAACTTCTTTGAGAG